GAACCTGACTAATTGACCCACTTGTCTGCGGGATCCCTGGGCCTCTTTTGGCTCCAAGAGGCAAGCGTGCATTTGAAACATACAGTGTACCGATTCCATGTGCTGTGCCAGGAAATGATTCTACAGAACTGATTTCTCCTAGGGAAAGCTACTCTGGTAGCAGCCGGTCACATGTTCCAGTCGTTCCAACGCACTGGGATCCACAGTTCCGGTCCTATTCTGGTAGCTAGGTGTACTCTAGATGGCAACTTTTGTTATTTGTAAGAGCGATCTTTCTGCAGTTCTTAGTGGATTCAAACGGGTGAAAACCGGAGCATGTACACGGAAGGCAGTGTCTTTGTTCACCAAAAGCAGGGTGGCTTTCCATTTTGAAAACACTGAATTCCCAAGGACTTTAGGTAGTCCAAATGTTGTACCCAAACCAACTTGGCTGTTTTCTCCCTCTCTCTTTCTCTTCTTTTCTTTTTTTTCTTCTTTCTTTCTTTGTTTCTTTCCTTTTTTCTTTCTTTCTGTCTGTTTCTCTTTCCTTTTCTTTCTTTTAGTACTATGACAGTGGTAGCAAGAACTCCTCAAAATGTGACTTCATCCTTACACACTCAACTGTGGAAAAACATGTCCTTACGGCTAAAGTTGTATGCAGTAGCAACCTTTTGGGTCAGACTTAATGACCCAGCATGAGGATGGACGTGGGGGGGGAGGAGACCTGGAGGTGCTGGAGGGTTGTCAAGCTGAATTAAGTGCTTCAAGATGGGTGGGACTCTTCGGCCATTCTTTTCTATTTCTGGAGTCCCAGGATGGTGCAAATGGGTTAGTTTGCTCAGCTACTAAATGAGAGGTGGGAGGCTTGAGTTTACCTGGAAGCACCGCAAAAGTAAGGCCTGGTGATGTACTTCAAAATAAATTTAAAAAATCAGCCCTTGAGGATCAGCACCGTTCCAGTCTGACGCACGTGTGGTCGTCACCACGCGTCGACTCAACGTCAGCTGTCTGGCTTTCTCTTTCTCCTTCAGCATGGACGTAACAGGTGAGGGAATTCAGGAAAGGTCCATTTGAGATAGCTCCAGCCACCATTCCTCTGCTCTCCCCTGGCTTCCAGGGAGGGGAC